AGGGGGGAGGGGCGTTGGATTTCTGCTCGACCGGCGACAAAAGTCCGCGCGCCGGCTTCCCATAATTTTTCGCCCGAGGGGCCGAAAACGATGAGGAGCAGCGCCACGGCAGGACAGAGGGCGGGGACGGGACTCGGCGCAGCGGCACAGAACGAACGAGTCAACCGCCTGCCTTCCGATGAGTAAGAGTGTCTCCGAGTCGTCCGCACGGATAACTTTCCTGACTTTTGGCGTTTTGTTGTCTGCCCTCCCGTGCTGATACAAGAAATCCCACGCCGTCAGTAAAAAAGAAAAAGGAAAAAGAGAAGCTTTCACCGATCTACACGTCAGTCCTGACACTCCGGCGGGCGCATATGTGCCACCCAGACGCGACGACGCGTCAGCCCCGCGGACAGTCCATCGGGCCGGATCATGTAACCCGCGAGCGCGGCCGCCACGCCCCGCTGCGCGCCGCCGCTCCCACGCGCTGCCGGGCTGTGACGGTATAGGGCCACTCCGCTGGCCCTGCCCCCCACACGCACGAAACCGAGAGTCGTCACAGTTGCAGCTGAAGCCACTGCAACTCCCCGGCATACCACTCCGACTCGCAGCTGCTGCAGCTGTGCGTCATCCCCTGCTCTATGCTCCTCGCAGCTGATGCAACTGTCCGCCCTTCCCTGCTCTTCACTACAGCGCAGCTGATGAAGCTGCTGTAACTATCCGTCCTCCCCTGCTCTACTCAACCCTGTAGTTGTTGCAGCTGCTGAATTTGTGCGCCCTCCCATGCACTACTCTACACCACGGTTGCTGCAGATGCGGCAGCCATCCTCCATCCCCTGCTGAACTATCACCCGTAGCTGCTGCAACTGTCCACCCTCCCCTGCACTACTCTACACAGCAGCTGCTGCAGATGATGCAGCCATTCCACGCATTCCACTCTCCCCCTCCCCTGCTGAACTCTACCCGTAGGTGCTGCATTGCAACAACTACTGTATCCCCTCCCCTCTGCCTTCCCTGCTTAACTCCACTCGCAGCTGCTGCAGCTGCTGCAGCTGTCCACCCTCCTGTCCCGCTCTACCCCGCAACTGCTGCCGACGCCGCCGCATCGCCGGCGCGTGTTGTCGTTTCCGGACGACGTGTACGAAAGTGAGGGAGAAAGATTCCCATCTCATTCCCTGACCACAACAATGGATCGGTGAGGTGATGCGGGTGTGCCTTCCATATTCATGAGCGGGGGAAGGCGAGAGGAGTGGGGGGGGGGGGCACCGCTGCCAACTAGCAGGCCCTTGCTGTCACTGATATGGGTGCCTCTAAGCCTGCAGCAGGACAACAACAAGCCACCAACAACGTGCTGTGGAGCTCGAGGGGGGGATCACTTCGAAAAATCATTGTACAACCCCCCAAAAAAGTCACAAAAAAGTCACAAAAAAGTCACAAAAAAGTCACAAAAAAGTCACAAAAAAGTCACAAAAAAGTCACTTTCCGTAAAATCATTGTACACATTTCGCATGACTGATCACCCCCTCGGTGGAGCTGTAGAGCCACAATTATTGCCTTGGCACCATTGCTAATTTTCTTCGTGCGATTTTCTGCCGGGAGATCAAATTGGGAAGAGAAGGTGGAGAGGGGAGCGGAGCGGGCCAGCGGAGGCAGGGGCAGGGCCAGGATGCTCGCCCGCCGGGGTGCCCTGGGTTCCCACGGGGAGGCACACCCGCGCCGCCCCGCTCGCTACTCGCCGGACAATGCCCCCGACGCCGTTTGCCGATTTCTTTCTCTGCGTCCACCGGCTGGCGGGGCGGGGCGCCGGGGTTGCTGGCGGGGGCGGCCGGGCGGGGCAGGACCTCCAGGGCTCCCACACGTCCTCCCCCGCCCGGGCCCCAGGCCGGCCTGGTACGCACCTTTGTTCCTCGCCGACCGGGCCGGACCGATGACGCGATCCCTCCTCTCACTATCACTCAGTCCGCCGCCCGCGGTGCACGTGCCCGTCGTGCCCGCGCCCATGTCTCGCGAGGACCCCCCTGGCTGGAGCTCGGTGCGCGCCGTGCTGGCGGGCCTGGCCAAGGTCCGCGATGCCCTCCGCGTGTCGTGCCGGGGCGCGCGGCACCTGGTGGCCGGCGCTCTGCATCCTGGCCGTCCTGGCCGCCAGTCCACGCGGCAAGTTCTTCTGCGCCGCGCGAGACCCATCGTCGTCGGGGAGGGCTGACCGGCCGATGGAGCAGGCCGCCGACGTCGAGGGCAGGATAGCCACGGGTGACCCCGCTGCCTCCAAGCAGGACGACGCCCAGCGCTTCAGCGACGCCTTCTTCCAGTGCTACTCGGCTGACGCCGCGCGGGCCGAGTCTGCCGGTGGCGCGCTGTCGTGCGTCGGCGAGGGTGCGCGCGTCGGCCTGGAGTCCTTCTTCACGCGCAAGGACCTGCACGTGTCCGACGGCCTGGCCCTGGTGCGCGAGGATGCCGCGCAGCCGGACCCCGCCGGCAGGGAGGTGCCGTTCCCCCAAGACCACTTGTACGACGGGCAGCACCGCTCTGTGATCGACTCGGCAGCCGCCTACCTGTCGGCCAGGTCCCTGCGCTGGGACATGAGCGGCCTGTACCCCGGGCTCATCATGCGGGTGGGCCCCACGCTGTCCGGCAGCGGCTGGCTCGAGTTCGTCCTGGAGCCGAGGAGGGCCTACACCGACCGGCAGCTCGGCCCCGGTGAGTAGTCCAGCCAGTACCATGGAGAGTGGCCGCCGAGGGGTGCCTAACTCCATAAAAATGTGTCCACCGGATTACCAAATTGTAAAGATTACCACTGATTACCAAAGACTACCAAAGATTACCTATGTATACTAGGTATGGTCCACCTGCATTCACCTGCCATGTTTTGTTCCGAGCAAGATGCATTTTTGTGCAACTCTTTGGTAATTTTTTGATTCTTTATCATTCAAGTTACAAATTTGCATTCTATAATTGGCCAAATCATGATTTTGCCCATGGGAGGGATGCAAAGTTGCCATATTAAACATGCGCGTTGGCATTTAGGCAAGATGTGCACAAAAATCGACAAAAATTCATGTCTAAATCAACAAATTTGTTCTTTTAAAGGACCCTCACGAGTGTGAGGATTACCAGGTATTACCAGTGATTACCAAGTCTGTGTACACCTGATTATCACAGTTAGGCACCCCCCGTTGGAGCAAGCAGCGCGTGCAGGCACGGATGCCGGCGCGTTTGCCGTTTGCCTATCGTCTCTACCCTTGGCGCTTTATGAACCCACGCGAATGGACATTGAACAGCCCGTTCGCACGTCTGCATCCGGGCATATTTGCTCCAAACAGGGTACAACGACCTGTATCAACTTCGGCAGAACGAGAGATCTGACCCTTGCGCTCATCTGTGCAGGTCGCACTGTGCTCAAGCAGGTCGTGCTCCCGTTCCTGCTGGGGCTCAAGGTGTCGGTGGCTTCGCTGGTGCCGCTGCTGCTCTTCGCCATCGTGTTCCTCGCCAAGAAGGCCCTGCTCATGAGCCAGCTCTCGGCGCTCGTGTCGGGGCTGATGGGCTTCGGCGCCTACTCGCAGTACGGCGCCTACGGCGGCCACCCGCACGCCTTCGGCGGGGGCGGCGACCCGGGCTTCGGCGGCCTCGGCGGCCCGCACCTCGGCAACCCCCTGGTTCCGCTGAGGACGTCCCCGCAGGTAAGCTGGTCGACAGGACAGAGACAGGGGTGCGTAGCGGAGGCTCGCCGTGGAGGTCAGGGGTCGGCGCCGTCGTGCGCGCAGAGGCCGCAATCGGGCATGGCGATCTGCATACAGTAGGCGGCAGCAGTCGCGGCAGAGGGACGCGGGGTTCACCGACGACACGGCGACACGGCCTGCCACGCCTGCCCCCTGCTGCTGCTGCTGCTGCCGCCGCCGACTCTTGTAGGAGAAACGGAAAGCAAAAGTGCTCCGCCATGACCCGACCCGACCCGAGGCGACGCCGTGCGTTCAGCGCCCACATGCCTGGGAAGCGCGGACTGAAACACGGCAAAGCAGGGAGGGAACGCCGCCCGCGAGAGTAATCCGAGGTGGCGCGGGGTGGCGCGGGGTGGCGGGAGGACCACTTTGCCTACATCCGCCACGTGGAGCGGGGCGGTACGCTACGCTGCCGTGTGCCACTCCACGCCGAACCTTCGGCAGCAGCACAGCACAACGGGGCCCTAGTCACGCGGGGCGGAGCGGGGCGGAGCGGGGCGGGGCGGGGCGGGGCGGGGTACAAAGTCTCTCTGTCTGCGAGAGCGGGGAGAGCGCGGGGCGCAGGGGTCGAGCACCGTCGAGAGTGAAGAGGGAAACAAAAAAAAGGGAGAAAAAAAAGGAGAGGAGTCGGAGTAATTGACATTGAGATGGAAGACAGGGAGCCAGCGCGTAGCCCCGGCGGTAGTGACTCCAGTGCAAACAGTCAGCCGAAATGAACGGTCGGGTGTCTCGTTCAGACGGGCGACTGTCAATGCAATACTACTCTCTGCTCCTTTTCCTTCTCCAGCAATGGACTGGGGTCGCGATCAGAACCCGAAACTACCTCGTCGCCTCGCTTATAGGAGTACTTCTGACACGGTTTCTCTCCTTACTTATTCCATTTCGAGGTCCAATACGGTTCTCTTTGGTGGAATTCAGAAAGCACTTTTAAGTGTGGAAATTATCTCACCGCGCAAATGGCTCCTTCATCGACAGCTTTGTTCCTGCAACTAACATCTCTGACTAGAAGTATCAATTGCCAGTCCCCTCAGCAAATTTCGAATGTCTCCTTAAACTATCTAATACGTTAGTTCTAGCAACTAATCTATTTTAGCCTGTGTTCTGCTTTAAAATGTAATAGAGCGGGCTGGGCTTATTACTTTCGTTTCAAGAAATGTCATCGAACGCCCATAGGAAATAGGTGGGTTTAAGAGGAGATGGCGGTCGTAACTTAACGCAACGGTGGGCATGAAAGTGAAATAAAAATTCGGTGGTCGGTGGGAAAGGAAGGGCTGCAGTCCCCAGGGCACGCGCACCGGCCGCTGAGCTGCCGCTGCTCATGGATTACGGCAGGTACAGGCGGCACAGCCTCGCGGACTTGCTAACGAGACACAATGTGGTATGAGAAAGTCTGACGGAATGACTGCGATGGCTTACTCACGGCTCCTCTCCGCAGGTGTTCCCCACGAACCCGCGGCTGCCGCCGCCCGTCGAGGAGGGTCCGAACATTCTCCACACCGGTGCCAACACCCTGCCGGGCACCCTGTCCGGCGGCTTGGGCGGCGGTCTCGGTGGCAGCTACGGCCTCTCGCCCACCTGGCTGTCGGGCACTCCACAGCACCTGTTTCGCAAGGTCAACTACGACCTCCGCGACGAACGCCACGCCACCGCCGCCTCCTCGACGTCCGCGGCCTCGTCGAACTCGCCGAGGAACACGAAGGGGTTCCGCTGGGAGGACGAGGTGCGCCAGGACGACGGCGACCCCAGGGCCGCGCCCGAGGCAGAGCAGCGGCGCGCCAGCAGCGACAGGAGCAGCAACAACATTTGGGGGACCTTGTCGCTTGGTTAGCAGCCAACCCCTTGCACCCTTCAAGTGGGGGCAGCATTCCCCTACCAACGAGGATCCTTCTTTCTCTTTCGGGTAACAAACCAAAGAATGGTGCGGAGTTTCTTTTATATAGTTGTATAGTGCAGAGCTGCTAATATTGAATAAAAATATTTGGTATGCAAGTAACAGCAGTATTTAAATGTAGCAGTAGACAATGTGTTATAATTAAAAAGTGATGGAGCAACACACTTGTCATCTTTTGTTATTCCAGCTCACAAATACTTAAATTTTTAAATAACGTTTTATTAACTTGATGTTTTTAAGACACACATAAATCTTTTCTCTGCTTTTAAATAACTGTTTGACTTACCATAATTTAGTTGGGCTGAGTGATCCGAGTCCTATAGTCTTAGAACTCTCCCCAGAAGTCCTAACCACAAAAAAACAAGAAACAGTGATAACCCAAAATTAAGGCTAAACATTCTTGTGGTAAAATAAGAGTACTTGTATTCAGGTAACATTTATTTGCGTGAATTAACAAGAAATAATATTCCTCTACCTAAGGTGCAACTGAAAATGTCACAGTTATCACGAAAAAAAGTGTCATACCTCTGTCATTCAAATTTTGCTCTCCTCAGCATTCTTTTAGAATGGCTTTACTCTCATGCATCAAGACCCCCCTTTACCCACACTTAGCGCAATAACCAGCGTGCTCTCTGAAGTATGTTGTGGTGGATTTAGTCTCGTGTGACCCGTGGCCTCACCCATCGTACAATAAATAGACATCTATCCTATCCGAAAACAACTCCACAACTCCCATTTGGGACGGTTTGGAAGGTTATGTTACTCTACTGTGGGTGTATTTCGACCAACGGAGGAAGAAGAATAGCGGGTAGAACATAAACGTTATCGATTGGCCTAGAGCTTCCCGCCTGTCGCGCCGGTAGTGGGGGTAAGCGGTCGGCCAATCAGGAACCTACATGTTCTACCCGCTGTTCTTCTTCCTCCGTTAGTCGAAGTCGAAATAGGTACACGATTCCGCCGCAGGAAAACAGGAACCTAAGTTAAAGATGACTGCTCGATCTGTTTCCTTCTGCGCGCTCATTGGCTGACTGAAGGTGGATCTCCAATGGAGCAATCTGCGCTACCCATCACCCATCATCCGTCACCCATCA